AGCTTTGCGCGAAATTCAAAACAAACAAACAAATATTTAAAACTCTCCAGTCTTAAAAAAACTATTTTTTTGTGAATAATGGTGATTTGAAAGAAAATGAGAAAATAGTTAACATTGTGTATTTTTGAGTTCATTTAAGGCTTTACGTTAATCAAAATTCAAATTTATCGTACTGTCTGCCCCTGGTGGCTAAACGGTAAATCTGAAGGTTTACAACGCTAAAAATCGGGTTTCGATACTTGCAGTGGGCACAATATAGATAGCCTGTTGTGCAGCTTTATACGTAACAGCAAATATATAAATCTTATGATCTGAATTCCCATGATTCACAAGTGTTCGTCCTTAACATGTATTTATTAAAATCATTTAATTTCTTGTTTGTTTTTTTTTCTTTCAGATTTGGGTCATTTTCCATCACTATATATTCGTTTCCTTAAACAATAGCACTAACTGAAAAATTTAATCGAAGCTCTAACACGTGTGCTTGAGCGAGTGTTTACTAAAACTTTGATAGATGTTACACCATTTTGATTAAACGTATCTTCACAGTTATTTCTACTTGTTTTACTTATCTGTTTTTGTTTATTCGAAACATTTAGATTGGGGGGGTGGTTCTGTTTATTCTTAACAATGTCTGTTTTCCAGCTATTTTAAAATATTTATACATGTTTATGATATCGTCGATTTGTGGATTTTTAACTTTATGTTTACCATGACAACATGATTATACGTTTTCGTTGTCATGACGCCATATTAAGATCGAAATGTCCTGATTTCTTTACGAAAACGTGAAGGTTTTCTTTAGTTCTAACGACAAAACACAGATACTACAGCCTGGTTACTAACGACAAAACACAGATTGTTTTGTCGTTAGTAACCAGGCTGTAGTAGGCTGTAGTAACTGGGTTACTATAAGGACCAAAAGCAATTCACTAGAGCAATGTAGCAATAAAAAGTTAGTAAAGCATGGTTATAGTAGAGATAAAAGACGACTTATTACAGCTTGGTTTACTTAGAAAACAAAAAACGACTTATTACAGCTTGGTTTACTTAGGAAACAAAAGACGACTTTTTACAGCTTGGTTTACTTAGGAAACAAAAGACGACTTATTACAGCTTGATTTACTCAAAAAAACAACAACAAAAGACGACTTATTACAGCTTGATTTACTCAAAAAAAAAACAACAACAAAAGACGAGTTATTGCAGCTTGGTTTACTTATGAAACAAAATACGACTTATTACAGCTTGATTTATTCAAAAAAAAAAAAAGACGAGTTATTACAACTCGGTTTACTTAAGGAACAAAAGACGAGTGACTACAGCTCGGTTTACCTAGGAAAACAAAATACCGTGTACTATAGCATGGATAGAAAAGAAACAAAAACTGAGTTATCCCAGCTCAATTTGTTTAGTTACAAAAAATAAGATACCTTTGTTTGTGTTACCTTTGGCACAATCGAGTTACCTCAATTCTGTTGTCATGGCGACAAAAAGAAGTCGTCATAGAAACGAGGAATCTGCCGAGAGATTAAACTCGGTTACAAGCTGGAAGATCGGTAAAATATAATCAGTATATACAAAGTAGAGTTTTGTCGTATAGTTTCTGTCAGTTTATATGATTGAAAAATAAAAGTCAAAACTAGAGAACATGAATAATGTATAGAAGTTAACGATTTTCCATGACTTGAATGCAGATTACCTATCTTATGTCTGGAAAGTCCAGGAAAGTAGAATTAGACATCAAGGAACCACACAAAAAAAAAACTCTTTCCTGGGTAAACTGCTATTTGTGAATCCTCTACCTTAACCCTAATTTCTCTAACTTATTTATACACCAAATTGCTTTTGGATCGACGACTCGGTTGTTTACGGGATCCCTATTAGCATACGAGTCACACGAAAGATATCATGATTATCGTAATTAATTTCACTAATTACCGCTGGAATCACCTATTTATTTTACACAGAAAATGTGTGATTTCGTTCACTTTTTTGTTTCCTATTTCTTTATTCTGACTGTTGGAACAATTTAAAAACATAACATTTTTTCCATATAAGATGACGACTCTAGTGTCAGTGAGCGGCATGAAACGAGGGTTAAGGTAGAAAAATTAATGAAACCAAAATGTTTTTCTTTTTGTTTCTTAGAGTGATCAAGAAATGCAGGCCATGATCAGAAGAGCCCAGAATGCCGAGGGTAAAACTAAGATATTTAGAACTCATTCACTTCAGCTTGAAAGTAAACCCAGTGTCCAGAAAACACAAACCATGTTATCGGCTGCAAGGAATATTTGGGCGAACAAGCCTGTAAAAGGTGATTCTTTTCTTTTTTTTTTAATTGTTTGTTTTTATCATTAGGTTAGGGACTTGAATACTAATGTAAAGTCAGGGTGCTTCCTGACCTGAGAGTTCATAACCTTTCCCTTGACCTTGACTGATAGGTCGCCCCACAAATAAAACACCATTCCCGAAAGAGCTACAGAAAAGACTACTGCGTGTTTATAAATTATTCAGGATTATCTGGAGCTAGCTTGTTTCTTTCTTTGATACCGCTTTCGCTTGCGATTGTGCGCTTTGATTCTCATCCAACATTTAAATACAAACCGCTCTTTTTTTCCCCATTTAAATTTATATATTCAGACTGATATATTAATATTTTATAGTGTTATTCATGTCGCATGTATTTTCCCTGTCTTTTCTTCTTTCGACTTCATAGAACAGAATACAGTAGCGTTACTGTTAAGCCTACTAACAATTATATATAACTGCATTTCCATTAGTAAACGTAAACAACGCCATATTGCGAAATGTCAAGTTTATCTATAGAGTTGCTCATATGTGATTTTCTGAAAGTTTTTAGGACTTCCAAAAGTATCGCATAAGTTTGATGGGTCTAATTTTAATATATGCCTTCATTAAAAACAACAATAATAACAAATAAACTTGGTTCTCGTTTGTGCTAAAGCGCCCTCTCGTGATCACTTGTTTATTTATTATTATTATATATTATCTTATAATAAATATAATTTCATCAACCAAGCATGATAATTAGATTTGGGTACTTTGATATTATTTTTTTTAAAGCGTTCAGTACAAACATTTTTTAAGAACATAAATTCTTAACTCAAAGACAGATGTACCATGCTGCACTGTGAATATGAAGTCCGTAATCTAATGGTCAACATGCTGCATCGTGCACATGAGAACCGTAATCTGATGGTCAACATG